TTGCTTTCTTCTCGTCTTTGTCGGCCGTGGCAATCCTTGAAGCAATGGTATATATAGTTTGCAGTGTTCCGACAAACCCAGCTGCTGCCGATGTGATTGAGAGAGGATCCATGCTGGGTCTGGGTGGAAGTAGGATGAGGAAGGAAATCAACGTGGGACGTCGCCTGGCAAGGATAATATAGATACCTAAAAATATCAAAACCGGTGCCAAGGTTTCTGCCGACGAACATTGAGCTTCGTAGTTAGTACAGCCTAACACAGCATGTTCAATCGCACCTGCAAACGTGTCGAGATTTATCTTGGGACGATTGTATATTGAGGAGCGAAGTTAAACAGAGATGTTCGTCATTGAACTTAGGCATCGAGCTGGTTAAAAAAAAAACACCCCTAGCAAGAACGGACAGCCTTAGGCGGAGTTATGTTTTAGATGCCGGAAATTCGTATACAGCTTGGCAAACGTCAGTACTGTAAAGTTGTTCTCAATTATATTACTCAGCGGTAAATCGCGGATAGCTTCATCCCAATATTTTCAATACAGGTATCGCCTTTCTGATGAGATTGGAATACTCCTTTTTTGTCCTGAGATTAAAGTATAAATACTTCACTTAATCCTCGCTATATAAAGCAGTAAAAACGCGCAAATCTGTTACCAGAGTTGCTGCATGATTGTTATTATCACGAAGACTCACCAAGTATACCGGCAATCTAAATTAACTTTCGAAAATCATCATGTACGACGCAAGGCAGCCATCCCCCAGATTCCTAGCCGCTCCTGCTACTTACTCATTCCATTGGGAAATTTTGAGATCTAAACGCATATACGATGGGTTAAGACTTTGGATGTTTTTCGGCAGTATGATGAAGTGGATTTATTCTCTCGATGATTCACGAACCCATTCCGACAAACTATCAAGATGACATTGCTGAATACTTCAAGACAAGTATTATCACAAGAATATTTGTCGAGAGTATATTTCCAAAATAATCTGGTATACTGTTTAGCTAATGTATGGAATTTTTTCTATGTAGATACGTCAATTTTATTGTTATTATAAATCAGGCAGAAATTGGCCGAGAATCTGGATAACAGGATAAAGGCAACTGAGCAATGTTATTAATGATGGCCAAGTGTGTGAGACATCGTGGAAACCAATGCGCAGTGAGTCTCGCGGATTATGCGTCGTTGCTGAGTCATATGTTGGCGAGATAGCGTTTGGAGAGGGAATGAAGTCAGAGTCCCCGTGAAACAGTTTGGTGGTTTTATGGGGTAGTGGTTAGCCCCCGAGTGTTTGATCACTTATGGATCCCTAACGGGACCGGTTAAATATTTCTTGTGATCCCGGTTCGAATCCGGGTAAGACCTGTATTTCTTCATTAATTTTTTTTACATATTAATATATAGGGTGCTTTGATTTCTTCTCAGACCAAGCCAAGTCCCGTCGAAATCTATTGATTTGAAGATGAGCTCGAAAATGAAAGGCTTGCGTGCCATGCTGTCCACGGCGATCCATAACGATATTTGCTTCCGCGAACAGCCTGACTTGGCCTTTTGTTCCCTGCCACCACCATCAAGCCCGTATAGTATGTTGGTTTATCATATTCCCGCCGTCGCCGCATACTGAGTTCTTCTATGACCTTTAGCATTACAGTTACAATTTACAAATAAGAATCTCTGTTAACTCTCGGAAACTCGGACCCTTAGCAGGTCTGGCTGTACAGCTGACCGGAAGGAGGCTGGGGCGGCGGAGGATGCCAAGTGAGATGCTAAATTACTTGTATAAGCGTTTAGGAATTAATCTGCATTAAGAATCTTTGGATAGGTCAAAAAAACTACACTAAACTGAGGTCCAGATTCCTCTGCATAGTAAACACCCCATACTGATGCCTGAGCGACTCGTCCTAGCTCACGGTATATGCGACTCTGCCAGCACGCTCCGTCAGCAACCTGTGGCGACCTGTTGGGTATTAATGGTCTGGATGTTAAACGGGTCGTCGCCGCTGTCGGAAATAGAAGCGGAAAGTGCGAAGGTCGAAAAGGAAATGAGGATGAAGAGAGGAAGTGCGCGATGCCTAGTGAGGTATGTGCGTGTTGCCGTCCAAACAGATTGGCGACCTGTCCCGTGCTAATAGCAGCAAGGAGAATGTGCTGGCTTGACTCGACCAGTGCGGGGGTTACGACATGCGTATTGTAGACAAAGAAACCTGTAACTAGCATCTATACATTAATCTAATACTACATGTTTGGTGTTGTTTGTACCTATAGTCTCCTGAAGCGTGTATCTTTAACACTGGAGCGGCTGGCTAGCGACATGTTTTGATCCTTCACATGAGTATCGAGAAAACGATATAGGGAATAAGATCTCAAGCCAATGTATGTAACATTTTGAGCCTTTATCTCAATGGTATAAAAGGTCAAGTAAAGTGCAATTCATTCTCATTGTCTCAGTGACTCATACTCTACTCTTCCTTCTTAGTTTAACTCTACTTCTCCCCTAATTCAATGGCTGAATTCTCAACTTTGCTCCACCTCACACTTGTCCGTTTGGTAGTCGTGTTCCACGTCTACGAATCCCTGGCTGGCCTCAGCGAGAGGGAAATCAACTTGTTTATCGCTTCC